TGTAGAAACGTAATTTTAAAAATTTTGCATCCGAGTTCACATATGAAATAGAGAAAAGGAAACAGGAAATGTCTTTTTAACATATTTGCTCTTTTAGAATATCACACCTGTTTCCTAGCTGTTGTATATAAAAACATATTTTGCTGCATCAGCTAATACCCCTGCAAGAAGTAGAAATATTATTTCTTTTTAAGGAGCAACAAAAGGAAGGACACGATGATTTTATTATTACTGTGGCTGCTCCTCTACAGTACTTTTCCTCAGAGTGCCCTTCAGTGACTCTCTTCTACGATTATTACGCCTATTTTTATTTAAATTCTATGTTATGTTTGTTGGTAGCATAACATGCCTATTCCATTAAATATAACTTAATAAGTCATTAAATTAATGTTATTTAACTTTTTTAACCATGGAGGAATATGTTTAGTACTTGTTTATCCATGGTTTAAATATAGGCATTGACATTATGTTAACCATTATATATATTATGCAGGTTATATATCTTATTAAATGTTTAAATTACTAGTTCAAGTTCATTTAAAAATCATGTTTGCAACTTCCAAAAGAAGTTGAATTGCATTAATTTGTACACAATTAAAATACTTTAGAATATAAATATATAAATATAGTACACGAGAAAAAAAAAAATACATACAAATTGAAATAGAATAAAATTTACAAGCGATTACAATATTCAAAAGTTACAATTTCATAATTAAAAACACACAATAATGTTAATTAAGCAAAGGTTAAGCAAATGTTATTAATAACATTTGTCGATACACTGAATGCAGTTTCTTATTGTTTTAACATTCTTTTTATCTTGTGACAAAACAGCTATGGTGTGAACAGAATATTGATATATTCTTTACTTAAAGTTTTAAGAATGTTAATGTTTGCAGTACCTGAATATTTAGAATTTGAAATTACCAAAAACATTATAACAAGTTGCTTCATACTTAGATATTATCTTTGGCCCGTGAGTTTAACTAAAAAATATATTTTGGCCCTTTAAATAAATGAATTAATAAGCATAACTTAGACTGCCCTTTCCCTCTCTCAAAGGCCCTGGAAGCTTCAATATTTTAGCTTGACGCAAGCCGTATTTTATTGAACTTAAAAAATTTAGCTACTGTTTTATGTTTTCAGCTTTTGGTGAGAATAAATATAAGAACAAACAATTAAAATGAACACAATCAATAATTATCGCCTACAAAACATTTATTTAGGGGCTAGTTGGCTCATCAATTTTACTTTTAAAAATTAAGTAGTAAACATTTTTTTTGTAAATTACATTTTCAGAGGCTTATTACTGAATGGACAGCAATAGCCCAGGCCCCAATGCTTTAAACTGGCTGCACTGCCCATACCTATGGTGCTACGCCACTGGGTATGACCAACTTGATTACAAATCAACTACTACTTACCTTAAATTTACTAATGAGTTGATTTACAAGTGGAATAAATTCCTGAATATCTCGTGCCTCGCACTGCTTTAAGAGATGTTGAACTGCAATAGGTATGTACGGTAGTACAGTCTCACCTAAGCAGACAATCATTCGATGTAAGTACTGGCGCACTGCTGAATGTAGGATCTGGTGCTGGTGAGGAGTATTCAAAGCTTGAAGAAAGATTTCCAAGGCTTCTGTGTAGCAGGCCTCACACCCATGCTGTTTCATCGTAGCTTGAGTATGGAAGGCTTTGCTACTTCGACTGAAAAATACAAATATCACTTCAGGTTAAAAAATATTTTTTATTAATGTAATTGTAATCCCAAAATATAGATTATTCATTTGTTTTACACACTTATTCTACTTATCATTTTATATCATCATTGCCTTATTTACATTTGCAAGTACTACCACTGAAGACAAGTCATTTTTTATGTTCCAATATGTGTTATAACTGTGGTAATTGAGACTTAATAAGCTTAGTAATGGCACAATTAAATTGCGATAACTCAGCGAAAATTTTCATTAATAATAAAATAATAAACATACCTTGCTAGTGAAATGGCATAGCTGATAGTTTCGGCATAACTCTCTTGTGTCTCCACATCCTCCTCTTGGCATAATTTCTCAAATGTTAATGTAAACTTCTCAATAGTTGGTGCCAGCAAGCGTTTCATAAGTAGTAACTTATCCTTTTTGAAAATAAAATACCGAAAAATACCACAATAAAATAATAAAAGCTATAAATCGTAATGTTAATTTGTTGATTTTATAATTATGTGAGTTGGTTAAAACCATAAAAAATATGCTATATGCTAGAAGTACTGAAATTTTTCTGCACACCGGTGAAAGCATTTTTATGCTTTTGCTTCTCCTCAACTTTTTTATTTTTTTTGTCTGCTCTTTTGTCATTTGTAGTTCATCAAAATAATAAAATTAAATTTTTTAATGAAATTTTTTAAAATAAAGAAATATTTGGTATTTTCTATTTTAATATTTTAAGACAAGTAGCATAAAATTCAATAAATAAAAAGCAATTTTGTTTTTAATTATATAATTTTGATATAAGCTTATTTTAAATATATTTCTGAAAATATTGTTAAGTGAAATTAAATAGGAGACCATGAGCTATTAAAGTTTACAATACCTAAACTCGATGTTTAATGTATTTAATTTAAATATTATGCATTCAACATACTTTCACAATGGAACAAAGACATGTAATCACATGCCTTTGTGGCAAAGTTCACAGAAAGCAGAGATGAGGGTTCATGAGCAGAGAATAATTTAATGAATCAACAAAGAAAAGCAAAGAGATTCTTTCAAAAAGCAGAGATGATGCATTATCTGCCACTTAAGCGAAGTACAGTACGGTACTATAAATAAGTTAGGTAAACGTACCTCCGGCTTCATATTACTCATAATAATCACGATACCGGCTGCTTCGTAAATAAACAATTTATCGTCATTTGTCAGTATGACGTGATTACCATTTGCTTGCGTACTTTCAATTTGTAACAAGTCCTGTAAATTCTCCAATATCACCTCCGTATATGGCTTTAGGTTCATGCGTAGCGTCTTTACAAAGCGTAGAAAAAGGTAAGAGCAACGACTGCGCACAGTCGGATGTTTATGTCTCAAGCCGCGATCGTCAAGGAAAGCCATGAGGACCTTTGGAATGTGTTCTTGCTGAAGCAGAAAGAATTTTTCATATCGTGCTACTGTTTCCATGAACTGTCAATAAGAGAATATTACAATAAAATTATAATATTTCTACAAAAAATTAAAGATATATGAGTCAATACAAAATGAGTGTTGTACAAAAAGTGAAAAATGAGTTATTGATATTTAGATAGATGAATGTATAAGCTTTACTTTATTCGTTGAAGGTTTTTTTTGTTGAGTATACAATTGAGATAGTTTTCAAACTCAAATATCTGAAACATACTTCAGAGAAAATAGCGATTAAAAATAAACAACTAATAAATTTTGTGTTGAAAGAGAACTTTTACAAAATGTGTCTTAAAATCACCTTTAACTATAACTCAAGTCTGAACATTTGCCATGATAAATAAAATATACATGTATTTAACTTTTCAGAGACATTGAAACCCAATTTTTGTCGCTTCAGATATATTTTATTAAATATAGGTTTCCTTATAATTAAAGACCCCTCCAATTAAAGACCACTTTTCTGTGGTTCCTAATTAAAAAATGTCTTTTATCTTTATTATTCTAATTAGAGACCAAAGCTGCTGAAGACCATGGAAACCCCAGTCCCAAAAGTGGTCTTTAATTGGAGAGAGACCTGCATATCAAATTGACCTGGTATACAAAAAAACTAATTTTGTCACAACATCTTCACATATTCTAACTTTGGTAAAATCTGAAAAAACCTCAAAAATTCAGTTAAAACACTGAGTGGGTCTCAAGACACCTATCAAGAAATCTACAGTTGTCTGCAGTCCTGTAAGCAAAAATATTTCAAAACTATCTCTGGCAAATTCCTTACATTTTTATGTTTTACTACCGTTGAAATAATTATTGTCTTCCTTTCATCTGCCTACATGAATCACCATATACAGCATAGACGTGTTAAGAGAGCTATTAAACCAAATATTCTAAAAGTTAGCTTCTTTCAACTTAAGACACCTGATCAAAATAATAAACTAAGTTATGTAACTTCAAAAAGAGCAAGATGGAAGCTGATTTACATTTAAAAAGTTACAAACATTGACTGTCTCCTAAGTTTGCAAAGAATATAGAAGGTATACTTTATGTTCTGCATAATTAAGAATATTAATTTTTATGCTAATTTTCAATTTTAAAAAAATATTGAAATAAGTTTCATAGATAAATTTCATAAAATAAACCAAAACTCACTCTATGGATATTGGTCATATCCTTTTTCCATATTTATTGGTTACTTTTTGCTTTTCTTGTCATAGTATTAATGTTTCTAATAATTGTTTGTATCTGTATGTATTGAAATGGTTACACACAAACAGAATTAACATATTGTGGACAATAAAATAATCTTGAATCTTAAATTTATATATTGGAAACCAGATGAAACTATTTAGCCAATATTGAAATATAATAATACTTTATAATTAATAAATATACCTGTTATTAACATTATTTAGCATTTCAAATACTGAATTTTTAAAGTTTATTTAAAGATTAAAATTAAATGAACTTGCTGGAAGCACTTTTAGGAATTATTTCTTGTTTTTTATGAACCTTTTTCGCTAAGCCACACCCCTTGAATAATGCTAAGGTCCAACACAATGACAGTGTTAAGGCCCCATAAAAAAATTATTAGTTTCACCATATCTAGGCTTAAAGGAGGGAGGCTTTTTTTAAAATTAAAACTTTTTTTTTTTTTTTTTTTTTTGCTGAAGCCCAACAGCACCCTTGGGTTCTCTGCTGGTGCACTGATATTCAAGTCAGACTCCGGAGGAAAAAAATTTGTTGATATGTTGTAGAACTAATTTTTCCAAGACAGAAAAAAGTTGTTTGACGAAAAACTGGGGAACGGTGAAAAAGCTACAGATTTTTTAATATTTAAAAACTGGGGGGAAAAGGGGCGTAACCACCCATTTTTACACCTTTTTCCCTTAGTTTTTAAATATTCAAAAATCTGTATCTCATTCACCGTTCAGTTTTTCGTCAAACAACTTTTTTCTGTCTTAGAAAAATCAGTTCTACAACATATCAAAAATTTTTTTTCCTCCAGAGCCTGACTTTCAAGGTAAAATACATGAGTTAGATAATACAAACAACATCTACTTACTATTTACTAGAAATATGAAAAAAAACCCCAATTTTTTCAAAAAACTTTTTTTACAATACCATAAAAGACATGCAGGCAAGGGTGATAAACTAATAATTTTTTTTTATTGGACCTAAAATATTGAGTAATGCAAGAGAATTTTTTTGGGACAACACATGTGCCTGTTTCCAGGTCCTCGTCTGATTGGTCAGTTAAGTTTGATTTACATGCCAGAAAGTTCCATTGTTGGCATATATAGCTACGTTGGTGCTAGAAATATTTTATCAAGATAATTTTCATTTTCATTCAATTTTTTCCCATGTCTGTTCAATAAACAATGTTATCATAAAATATCAAAAGGATTACTTTTGAAAACAATTTTTTTTTCTCCAAAAAAACAATTTTTTTTTTTTGGGGGTGGGGGGAGGCAAACTTTTATTTCCATTTCTTTAGTAAATACTAGATATTCTTTGTATTTCTGAATCATGTATTTTGCATTGAATATCAATGCACTCAGCAAACAACATACAGTAAGGGTGATATTGCACTTTAGCAAAATAAAAAATAAAAATAGAAAGCCTCTCCCTCATCACTTTTCCAGCCTGGCAGGTTACTACGGATTCTGATTGCAAAGAATCACAACGAATTCCACAAAACAATAACTGGCTGAGGTCAATAAACATAGGTCTAGCCACTGGAGGCCTAGTAGCACCGTTTGACCACCCGTTCCAATATAAAATGCGATTTGGTCTGAATGCATCTATTGACTGCGACAGGGAGTAGATTACCACTGATTACATCTCAACCGATCACAAAGCAGTGTAGTTTGAATGTAGTATTGGTATATAGCACATGGATTGTATTGTACAAATCTATAATAGACGATCTTTGGAATAGATGACGACAAAGATGAAGAGAAAACAAAAGAGATCAGAAACTGAAACCAAGAATGACAACATGCTTTATAAGAGGGAATTCATACCACCACACACTAGGGTCATTGTTTTTATTTTTAATATCCATCAAAGGAGATACTATTCAGTTCCTTCTTGACATTTACTCGAATTTCATAAACACTGCACACATTCATTGAATTATCATTCATTATATCTCCCAATTAAACCCATAACACAAGAATACTGTCCTGTTATGGGTTTATTGTCCTGTTTGAATTTTTATCAATTGGGTCATTCCGTGCCAACTCAACAAATTTTCAGAAAATCATGGCTGGGTACCATCTCAGATTTTCTTGAAACTCGGATATAATGTGCACCAACATGTCTGACGAACAAACCCAAAATTTGACTTGCCAATTCCAAGTCGTTTAGAAGTTACGGCCATTTGAAATTTTAGGGTCATACCCATTTTTAGCTATCAATTATGACATATTTGTAAAGTTGCATTTTCAAATAGCCATATCTTCAAATAGAATAAAGATAATTAACTGAAAATTGATATCTAGACTAACTTTTGGCAGTAGAACAGGAATATGACATGACTTTTGATATACCGGACCCCGTTACGAAAATATTGGTTCATAAACACCCTAAATTATTTGGTTGCGTAATTTTTCTTCCATATTTAGACCCCATTAAAATACCCAAATCAGTTATTAAATGGGTCTTTTGCAACAAATTATTAATATATAGTTGGAAATGTTTCACCACAAAAAATTCCGGATTTTCAACTTATCATTTTAGGGGGTAATCGTAGGTCAAAAGGTCATTCGGGACAAAAAATGCACAAAATTGCCTCATATTCATGGTGACCTTTGACCCTGTTGTTAAACTTGCACCATTAATTAATTTACATATGATGATCAGATGTTCCAAATATCAGCTTGGTGTCTTTATCCTTTCATGTTTAAAAAGTGATTTGAAAAGGGGTATATTTTTCAATTTGTGACAGTATCAGTGCGTAAATGTGATAAAATTAATTTTTGAATAACGATAATATAAAAATAATCTGCCTAGACCGTAAAACTTATAATTCTAAAACAACTTTATGTGCTTATTTCAGGCATGCAGTTCGTTAAGGGATATAGTGTTTCATTAGTAAGATATGTCCCCCCAAAAATGGCCCAAGTGCAAGAATTGCACAATAAAATTGTATTTACTGTTGATTTCAAATGAGCATAATATTATCCGTGTACTGTCTAGAGCCGTGAAACCTTTCATTCTAGGACAACTTTTTGTGTTGATTTCAGTTATGCAGTCTGTTAAAGGCAAAAATTGTTTAATTAGTAAGATATTATGCCCCAAAAATGGCCCAAGTGCAAGAATTGTGCAATAAAATTGTGTTACGATTGATTTCAAATGAGATGAGCATAATATTATCTGTGAACTGTCTATAGCCATGAAACCTTTCATTCTAAGACAACCTTTTGTGCTGATTGCAGTTATGCAGTTTGTTAAAGGGATGCATTGTTTAATTAGTAAGATATTTTGCCCCAAAAATGGCCCAATCGCAAAATTGCACTATAACATTGTGCGACTATTTGATATTTAAAATGAGTATAACATTAACAGTGTACAGTTCAGAACCATGTAACCTTATATTCTAGTACATATTTGTACACTTATTTAATTCATGCAGTTTGTTAAAGGATACAGTCTTTTATCTTACTAACTAATAGTTAGTTAATAGAGTGGTTAGTTAGTATGATAGTTTGCCCCAAAAAATGGCTCAAGTGCAACAATCGAGCAATAACATTGTGTGACATTGAATTTAAATGAGCATAAATTTTACATTGTACTGTCTAGAGCCATGAAACTTTTACTTCAAAAACAACCCTTTGTTCTTATTTCAGTCATGCACTCTGGTGGTAAGGGACACAATGTTTAATTATTAAGATATTGGGCCCCCAAAAGTGGCTCTTGTGCGAGAATGGTGAAAAGCACTGTTATTTCACAATTCTGGGGTCGGTACAATATCTTACTAATTAAAGACTGTGTTCCTTA